GGTGACTATGAATAATGTGTGAGGCAGACAAGAGTCCATGCTGCAGCCCCTTCTCTTGCTTTGGCCTCAATCCCACGTACAGTAAAAGCAAATCCACAGAACCATTTAGGGACAAGGGAGGTGCAAAGGGGTATTTTATTTACCCACAGGAAAAAAACTTTAGGATCCTTGATTGGCATCCAGCATATATTTATGCTCCCCAATGTGTCTGGGGTCTTGCAGACACTTTTAGAGCCCATCACAGACATGGCCTAAAAAATGTTGCCCAAATTTAGTTGAAAGCAAACGCCTTCAGTAGGTAAAGTAGACCGTTGGGTAAAAGCACCCTTATTTTCTTATCTCCACAGTGACGCCGAAACTGATCTTGTCAGCTAAAGTTGAGGTAGAAAGCACATTTGTAACAAATATTTTTCTTCCTCTTCAATGACAATAAAAATGGACACTATGTAACTGTAAGATGGGAGTTGGCCAAGAAGGACACTTAGCGTCTAGCGCCACCTTGTGGTGGCACATCCAAATCCCGGGCCCTCACAAGGACCCCAAGATGAAAGATGACTGAGCCTTCTTGAAAAGCAGTTGGCTTGTGAGCTGTTCCACCATTTGGATGTAACAATAATCATGGGAGAGGTTACCTTCTGGGGGAATACAAAATAATAGAAATAACTAGCCCTTGACAGGCACTTTATAGTAAACAAAGCAGCACTCCCACTTGGATGACTTCATTTAATCCTGGCAGCAACGCTGCCAGGGAATATGTTCTAGGATGTCAGTCTTAGACATGTGAAAACTGAGGTTCAGAGAATTTGGTGATTCGTGTTGGGCAAGCCTGGACTTGAACCCATATACTCACTCCAAATCCTGTAATATAATTTTATTAGTACCATTGTATAGAATATATTCTATTATACTATATATTATCAAAAGTTCAAAAGAAACATGGTACTATGTAGAATGGCATATTTTAATATAACTATAGTACTTACTGTATTTTCTATAGTACTATTAACCAGTACTCACTACCTTTCTGGAGGCTTTCTGTCCCTGAAGAAAAGGCAGTGTCGGTTGACTCTTTGCAGTATGATTCCACAAATGCTGTTATGAGAAGAGTTTTGCTACTAAACCAACCATGGCCTTGCTTTTCTGGTACCTGGGCACCCAAACTGTGGGAGAACCTGCTCCTCTGTTGTCTTAATTTAGGATGCACTAAGGTAAGTGTGCCCAGGGAGAATGAACACCAGGACACAGAGGCAGTGGGACTGAAGCCATGTTTTTATTATGTTTGGCCTTTAAAAAAAAATTCTTTGAGTTACTTATTATACTAATCCGCTGGCTCACAGCTAAAGCACTGCTGGGTGCAGTGGCACACACCCATAGTCCCAGTTACTTGGGAGACTGAGGCAGGAGGATTGCTTGAGCCTAGGAGTTTGAAGCCACAGTATGCTTTTGTAGCACCTGTGAATAGCCACCACACTCCAGCCTGGGCATCACAGTGAGACCGTCTCAAAAAAAAAAACAACCCCCCTCCCCCTGCCAAAACCCCACTGATGGACTAGGTTACTTCACTCATTTAATAAGTTTATTTTGCAATTGATGTATCTGAAAGTTTATCTAAATGTATCTTAAAAATATCTGAGAGGTTATATTGCTCAGTGTCAGAGATCAGCATGTTATTAAACCAACTTTAAATATTCTAAGTGAAAACTTTTGCAGCCTGGCTTTATGGGGCAGGAATTTGGGGCCATAATTGCTCCTGGTAGTAGAGGCAACTCCAAGTTGTTTGGAGGAAACTGTTGGCTCCATTCACAGGTGTCCCCTCAGCCAATTACTGGCAGAGAGAGGTCTTCATCAGCCTGTTCTGTTTTCTTTGGAGTCACTAACTCTTGGCCAGATTGTCTGTCTAATACCTCTACTTCTCAGGGAGGATAACTTGGACTCTCTAGTCCCTGGAGTCACATCAAACTCTCAACGGAGAACACTACTGATGGAGGATTGCCAGAAGGACCAACAGTCCATCAGTCAGTCTTTCAGGGATTCTAAAACCTACCTGGACCATCTCCTTTCAGTCCTCCCCACATACAGATTACTGACTAGTCATCTGGGGTTATATCTACATTAAATTATTATTAGAAACAATGCTTTGATACTTGCATTTATTATTGGTGAAGTTGTTAAACATGTGGTTTGCTATATTAGTGTTCTCTTTATGAGAACAGAAGGGAAAGATTCCTTGAGTAGCTGCCTCAGGTTGATCTTGTGGAGTCTGGATTTGATCTTGTTTCCCTCTTTTCACTAACCACTAGGAAGCCAGATTTGTAATTTATCTTTTAAATGTATCAGACCACCTGTAATGCAATCTGTGTGGTAACCTTATTCCTGGCCTCAACTTTTTTTCCTTTAGCCCAATTTCCTTACAAATGAAGAATCTGAGGTTCAAACAGGTTAAGGAATTAGGCCAAAATTCCAAATGACTTCTGATAACAAAAGCCCATGTCTGTTCTATTCTATTACACTGCTCCCCACTTTTCTACTTTAAATAGCTTATCTTTATCCAGCTTAATGACCAAAACCCAAGTGACACTGGTCAGACCTGGTGGAGACACAGGTTAAAAGACTTTTATGGTGGGGGTGCTGGGTAGCATCTGGGGCTGGAGCTGGCTGTGGGACTCACCTGGCGGAGGGGCTTAGTGGAGAGAGCCCTGCACTGAAGTGAGGAGCCTGACGCTGGGCCCAGGCAAGGCTTGACCCTCACTCTGTGAGAAGGTGCAGGAGCCTCCCTATAGGCCCATTTCTTTCCAAGTTAATTTCAGAAAAAACACTGCAAAGGACAGATTCTGTCCTACTCCCCATCAGTTTTGCTCTTACCGAGAATAGCCATCTTCCAGCCTCCAAAGGAAGGGTAGAGAATATATAAAGCCACAGACCAGCAAGAGGTAGGGGTTCCTCTAGCTTCCCCTCATCACCCCCACCCAAGAAGTTGAGGACAGATGGCAGAGTCAGGATACCCAGCAAGCACACTGAGTCCTGCTGCCTGTCCCTCTTCTCTCCAGGAGCCCGGAGGATTTATTCTGATTGTACAGAACTACTATGACTATTGCCCAGCCCTGTCCCACTGGGACCCCTCCTCTCCAGGTGTGGCTGAGGTCCAAGGGCTCAGGCTTGCTGCATGTGCAGTCCAGTCATGTACTCGAGACAGCAGTCTCATGAACAGCTTTCTGCAGAAAGAGAAACATAAAGGCTTACAGGATCAACTTTTGGGAGCAGACCAAAAGAATTTAGATTTTATTTCATAAAATGAAAGTCATTATGGCAATGCTTGGGAAACAGGTCAGCAGACACACTAAGGGATTTCCCCATACTCCACCACAAAACTAGCTATGTGATTTCTGAACTCATCATTTACCATTAGCCACTGCTTCCTCATTTCCCAACAGGGACTTGGGACAGTCCATTCTAATGCCCCTCTCAACTCTGAAATTCTAACTCTAAACTAGATGTTGCTGTCTTCCCAGAGAAAGTGCATTGCACAGACGAGCTGGGGGAGGCAGGAAGAATAGGTGGTTGCCTTTCCCCTCTCTCCCACGGCAAACAGTGTGGCCAGGAACTGGCCCAATTATAGGAGGTCTCAAGATCCAGGCAGAGGGCAACAGGAGGTTCCTCAACAGAGACATAATAGCAAAAGTGTATCTGTGGAACACTGGTCTTGAATAGGTACATAAATGAACTAAAGGGGAGGAAAATGGGTAAATGTGAGACATTGGAGAAGAAGAAAAGGGAACAATCCTTCAGGCTACAAATATATAGGAATGTCTTATTTTAGCATATTTGGCCTCATTTTTCTACAGGGTTGTCTGACATGCTGCCTGGAGGCACACTTACAGAGTCGTATGAGTAATGACAAGGATCTCTTAAGTGCCACACAGTCCTTATGCTTCCCTTTGTGGAATTTTACAGGCAGACAACATGGCTAAATTCTGTTATACCATAAAACTTTCTTTACTTTTTAGGCTTTGAAATTTTATTTGCATTTCTATAATACACACACTTGCTACTTTTTAATACAAAAATTATATAGTAGTCCCCCTTGTCCACGGGGGATACATCCCAAGACCTCCAGTGGATGCCAGAAACCACCGGATAGTACCAAACCCTATATATGCTATGTTTTCTCTATGCATACATAGCTATGATACGGTTTAATATATAAATTAGGCATAAGAGATTAAAAACTAAAAATAAAATAGAACAATTACAATATACTGTAATAAAAGTTATGTGAATGTACTCTCTCTCTCAAAATATCTTATATTAATAAAAATAACTACCACAGTTGACTGTAGGTAACTGAAGCCGTGGATATGGGGGACTACTGCATGTGCTCATATAAAAAATCAAAATACAAAAATATAAAGTAAAAAGAGTGATTTTAAGCTTTCTTCTTCAAGAGGAGGCAAAAATGTCAACCTCATGAAAGGTCAGGACTTGTGTCCCAGGTCCAGGGTCACAGTACTTGGGTTCTTTCGAGGCTTTTGAAATTTGCTCTGAAGGAAAACTCTCGACACACACAGGCCTTCTTTTTTATTCACCGTCTCTCGAAACACATATTCGTTCACCACTTCCTCGTAACCTGTGTCCATAAAGAGCTGAGCCAGGAATTCTGTAAGACAAGCAGGTCAACCATGCTCGAAGTCATAACAACATCACCTTTGCTTCGCAGTAGTAAGGAGGAAAGGTAGAGGGCCAAGATTGATTTTTTTTTTTAATGAAAATTTCAATGCTAAAATTTTTTTTCTTTCTCTTTCTCTCCTTTAATAGATTTAGGGGGTATAATTGTATACATGTGTGTACACATTATATAGTGGTGAAGTCTGGGCCTTTGGTGTACCCATCACCGGAGAAGTGTATGTTGTACCTCATAGGTAATTTTCATCCCTTCCCCGCTCCCAGCCTCCCCTCCCCACTTTTGAGTCTCCAACGTCCATTACACCACTCTGTGTGTCCTTATGTAGCCATAGTTTAGCTCCTACTTATAAGTAAGAACATGTGGCATTTGTTTTTCTGTCCTGGAGTTAATTCACTTAGGATAATGGCCTCTAGTTCCACCCAAGTTTCGACAAAAGACATTATTTCATTCTTTTATCAGTGCTAAAATTTAAAGGTTTTGTTTTGGGAACTAATACACTCCTACTTCTCACCTTACACCCAAATAGAAACCTCCAGTTAAGCAATTTAATCAGAAAGAAGTAAAGGACAATCTGGTGTGCTCATCCTGCCCTATCATGAGTTCTCAAACACAAAAGCCTGAGTAAAAAGAAACAAAATTCTAAATTCATACAAGATCTGAGAGTGGAAAAAAAATCACCTGATAGTGATACACTTTCAGGAAAATTTAACTCAAATAATATACCACTAGACATTAAATGAAATAAGTAGAATAAATGACTATGTAGCAAAAATAAAGACTCTTACTAAAAGCTTTACTCCAAAGAATGTGCTTCATTATGAAGCACTTTGTGATATAAATGCATCTTCTCAATTATTTATAATTGGTCAGTCAGATTTTATGAATCAGAAACACTCAAACACCTTTTCAATTTTCAACTGACATTTTAATGATTTTGCAGTTTCAATGGTAATCACTCATTTTTAGTTTCATTTTAGTATCTAGAAGAATATTTCATTTTAAGAAATAAAAATGATTGTAAAAACAGAGCTTAAGAAGATAATTATCTCATGGTCCAGATTATTAGGTAGACTTAAAACTAATGCTCAAGACACTGGAAGAAAATGTTTATTTTCTTACCAAAAATGACTACTTAATATACCACTTTATAGCAAATTTGTATATTTAAAAACAGATCCAATCAATTCTACAGAAAAAAGTTTCTTGTTTTTGTGCTATGGGAAAGTAATCTCAAGGCACTACTGTCCTATATGCTTTATTTTTAACTGGACAAAAAGAAGTTTCTGACTTGCCCTCCCTCTTTCTTTGAGCACAGTTCCTGGTAAGGCATCCACGTGGCATGTCAGAGCCTGTCCATTAAGCTAGGTTAACTCTGGGGCAGGCACTGTCACCAGAGAAGGCTTGTGAACTCTCCATGGGCAGGGGCCATGTCTGTGCCTTCCCAGGTGCTGCGTAAGTGGTGTGTATATCAGCTTGTTCAAGGGTCCTGTGCATCCTGAGCTAAGTGCAGCCACAAGCCCTCCCCAACCAGCATTGCAGTGATAATGCAATCAAACAAACAGAAATAAAGAATAAAACATCTTAAAGCTAGATTCCATTCATCTTACCATCAGTAAAAAAATATGATCTGGTTCCATCTTGTCTAACATAAAAGTTTTCTCCAAGTTTGCTGCTGGCTTTAAACCTAAGCATGGCATGATCATATAGCCCGTAGTCACGAAACAAGACGCTTTTGCCAGGTTTTAATACCTATGAAACAAAAGCAGGTTGCACGTAACTCTGGAGAACCCAGTCAAATAAAATAAAATCTGATCAAGTTAGGAATTAAAATAACTGAGATTTGTGATAATTATGAAAGGGGTCAGACTGAAATACCCATAATACGAAGGAAAAAGGGCTTGCTAGTCAAAGTGATAGGAAGACTTGATAGGACCCCTTACTATTGCAGATACTCCTTGAGCAGCTCCAAGAGCACTCTGGAATGTCCAGTGTCATAGAATTAAAATGTTAAAGACAATAAATGAAACAGCCATCTCCTAGGATTCAAACTGTATTCAACTGTCTCTTTAAAAAAAC